CTGACACTGGTATCCTTGCTCAGGTCACATGTCAAATGGTTTTGTGTCTCTAAGGTATGAAACAGACATGAATCTAGGTTTTGTGGGGCCCGATACTTCTACATTTTGGAGGCTTTCTTAAATAAAAAGAATTTAAAAATACGAATACAAAATAAGGTATGAAAGTAAATAGTTATTTAAAGAAGAAAGGAAACAGGAATTTCAAGTTCATGTCTTTCTCACAAAGAGAAGAAAAGTATGATGAGTTGATAGTTGTATATGCCTCATTATTTAGTGTATTCCTTCCAGTGGAGAATTCCATTTTGACTAGGCATTAATGAGAACCACATCTTCCACTTACAATTTTTCATGTCTCATGATTAAATTAATTTTCCACAGAATAGTATCTGGCACCAGACATTTTAAACTTTGTTTCTCCTCCATTATGCACATACTTCTAGTGCCTAGTACGGTTGGACACATTCAGATCATAGTATGATCTCTGGCCTTGTATCTTTGTGTCACAGAAGCTGTGAGAGTTGGTATAGTGGCAGTAAAAATGTTCCTGGAAACTATTCCTATACCAAGATGGCTAACAATAACTTATACATAAATATTTCCCACTAAACTCAAACTAAATGTATCCCTCATTCAAATTCCACTTAGATCCCTAAAGATGCCCACTGTCACTCCAACTCCACCCTACATGAGGGGCTGTATGACAGAGGGGAGAGTGAAGTGGAAGGAAAAGGTGGTCTCAAACAAATTGTGGAAGGGACCCATGGAGGTGAAGGGGTTTTGAATCATTAACGTCTTCAGCTGCCCAGTAATCCCCTCCTCTGGTACATGGGCAATTCTGAGAAAAGACAGGAAGTTCCAAAATGCAGAGGATTCTAAGGTGATTCCCTCACAGAGGCATGTAATGCACTTCACTTGCAGTGTATTATGATATATGGCAGTTTACAGACACATACACTTACAGACTATATTTTATAGCCTTAACTAAGCTAACCTTCACAAAATGCCCAAGTACCTTAAAAAGATTCCTAAGAAATCATGGTTCACAGCTAATATTAATAATGAAAGTACTAGTGAAAGACCAAAAAAAAAAAAAAAAAAAGAACGAGAGGCAACACTTGTGCTATTTCTAGTACGAATTAATGAGATGAAAATGATGATGTAAGCAGATTTGACAAGATTTGGCCCAGAAACTTCAAAAATTTCAAAATCTCAACAAAACTATTTGAAACATGAATTTATATTCACTAAGGGTAATATGAGGCCATTATGATTAGCAAGACATTTAAAAATCTTGTTTATTTCATGCTTTAAAATTTTATATTCATATTGTATTCATGGTGTAAAAATATTTATATAAAATGCCTTAATAAAATGCCATTTAAATTTACATATATTATGGCTACATGTTTTAAAATGTTATCCTGATGGGGTGAATATTTTTAAAAGTTTGGGGACCACAGGGCTAAACTATATACTTTAGTAAATTGTAACCCAAATCATGTTCCTGCAGAGATTATGGCATTGACTTATTGGGAGTAAGTTGGCAATGATAGCAAGGGTTAAACATTTGTGGATTTGTATTTGCCTTCCTTAACCATCATGCCTTTGTGTGTTGTCATCTAATAGGTGGAATGTGTTAGACATCCTTTGGGGTGTCCTTTGGGGTATCTGCCTAATTCACACGGTAGGACTTGTCAGCCATGTTTTTACTGTGACTCCACCCACATAAAAAAACATGTACGGCCTAGGAATAGAATCCTATAAAAATTAAGCTATTCAGTTACTTTTTCCTAAGATTTTGTAATCGAAACTAAGACAGATTACCATTTTCTTGAATGGTGGTTATTTGAACCCTGGTTGCATTGTTGCATAGGAAGGAAAAGGAGAGAAAGCTCTTCTGTACAGAGAAGCAGCAGATGTACAGAGAACATTAGAACATTATTTACCTCCTTCCAACCTCTTTCCTACTCTCCTTAAATATTTAGATTTTATGTTGTTTATATTATTGGATGGGGGCCACAGCCAGAACATACAATATATAATAGTCCCAATGGGACTCCAGATATTGGAATTATCAGAGACTCCAGATTATAAATCAATGATGTCTACTATATTCAAAGAGTGAAAAGCCAAGACTGACAATTTTGGCAAATAATTAGATGCTATAAAAATAAACCCAATGGATTTTTTTTTTTTTTTTTTGAGACAGAGTCTCACTGTGTTGCCCGGGATAGAGTGCCGTGGCATCAGCCTAGCTCACAGCAACCTCAAACTCCTGGGCTCAAGCGATCCTCCTGCCTCAGCCTCCCGAGCAGCTGAGACTACAGGCATGCGCCACCATGCCCGGCTAATTTTTTCTATATATTTTTAGTTGTCCGATTAATTTGTTTCTATTTTTAGTAGAGACGGGGTCTCGCTCTTGCTCAGGCTGGTTTCGAACTCCTGAGCTCAAACGATCCGCCCGCCTCAGCCTCCCAGAGAGCTAGGATTACAGGCGTGAGCCACTGCGCCCAGCCCTCCAATGGATTTTTTAAAGAACCAGATAACAATAATAGAACCTAAAATTACAAAAAACACAAAATTAGTATCTTGATAGATGAGTTTAACACCATAAGAGAGAGAATTAGTAATCTAGAAAATATATCAGAATAAAAGCTACCCAAAATGAAGCATAGGGAGGTAAAATAATGGAAAATTAGGGGAAAAAAAGGGTAAGAGAAATAGTGGATAGAAAGAAAAGATCTAACGTACACCTAAGTGGAGCTATAGAAGGAGAGAAGAGAGTGGGGGAAGAAAAGCAATATTTGAAGAGGTGAGGCTCAGAATTTTCCAGAGCTCATGAAACATGTCAATCTATGTATTCAAGAGGTTCAGTGAATTCTCGGCATCATAAATAAAAGGAAATACACTTCCAAGCATACACAGTAAAAGAACAGAAAAACAAAGTCTAAGAGAAAAATCTTAAAAACAGCCAGAGACAAAGGACCAATTACCTTCAAAGAAGCAGTAGCCACACTGACAGTTGATTTTTCACAGACAAAAACAGAAGTCAGAACCTTGGAATGAATTTTAAGTGTACTGAAAGAACATACCTGCTTCTATCCTTGCATCTTCTCTGATTCTACTATCTCACTCTTTCTATTATAAGGACCTTTGTGATTACTTTTAGCCCACCAGGCAATCAAGGATAATCTCCCTATCTCAAGATCCTTGACTGAATCATATGTGCAAAGTCTCTTTTGCTGTGTAAGGTAACATATTCACACGATCTGGAGTTAAAAACATGAACATTTGTGGTGGGCCATTATTCTTCCTACCACACCACCAATCTAAAAAACGTTCTTACCCTTTAACTTGAGTGGCTCCTTTCTCCTATAATTCCCCATGAAAGAAAGCAAATCAGTATTTCCAAGAAGCTGAAGAGGATAGGACACTTGGCATATTATCTCATTTAACCTACCATCAACCTTCGACCTTGGTGAGGTATACATTATTGTCCAGATTTTAAAGATTCTGAGACTGAAGATGAGAGTCGATATCTTGACTGAGGTCAGCTAGTTGATAAAATGACTAGAAATTTGAACCCAGATCACTAGATTGGTCTCTGTGACTGCAATGGTGCTTTTTCCACCATACCAAGTACAGTTTTAGTATCCTTTATCTGAAATGCTTAGGACCAGAAGAGTTTCAGATTTTAAATTTGTTTTGGATTTAGGAATATTTGTATGTACAAAAGATGGGATGGGACCCAAGTCTAAACATGAAACTAATTTATGCTTCATAATACACCTTATACACACAGTCTGAAGATAATTTAACACAATATTTTTAATAATTTTGTGCACAAAACAAAGTTTGGACTGCATTTGGACTGCTACTCAGCACATGAGATCATGTGTGAAATTTTCCACTTGTGGTGTCATGTCAGTGCTCAGAGAGTTTCAGATTTTGGAGCATTCTGAATTTTCAGATTGGGGTGTTTAAGCTTGGCTTAATGTTGCTTGGCTTATCATTATACGAATAATTTCTGGCCAGTCTGTATCTCAGAAAACACACGCTAATGTAGTGGGTTTTTAAATGGATGAAAAAGAAATACAGAATGGGGGGAAGGTTTCAAACTATAGAAACATCTTCGAATACAGTATTGGTGGCAAAAGGTTCTTAACTTTATTAAACATGAGATCCTACAAATATGTTACCTAACACAGCGAAAGGGACTTGGCAGTTATGATTGAGTTAAATCATTTAGGTCTTATTAGGCCTCAGTTCTCTTGTCTGTAAAATGGGATGTTTGGACCTAATGACACCTTTTCCAGTTCTTTTCCCGCTCGGACACTCTATGATTTTGGGGAAGAAGCCCCTGGCCTCTAGATACCTCCACCTTGTTGGGTGGGCTCTAAGATGACTGCATTCAAGTTAGAAGCGTCTGAACCGTGCCAGAGAAAACCTACTGCAGATCTAAGGAGGAAAAAATGAAGGGCAATGAACAGGAGAGGAAGGGGAGATGAAAGAAGCCCATCACGACGACTAGAGAGAGAGAGAGACAGCAATTAAATAGTATGCAAATATAACCACCAACGGGTATCCAGCGTTTATGATGCAAATAAAACTCAGCTGGTCTCTGAGGATGCAGGAATAAGGCATTGTTCTTGGTCTCAAGGTTCTCACTTTGTATTTAACCATGGACTTTTAACTTCCACCTCTATAAGCCCTGGATGTGAAAAATGTAAGAAAACCAGAAACAGAAAAATATTTAGAAACGTTTGACTGTGTCAGATGCAACCTGAAAAGACAGTCTGTCGAAACAAGTGGGACCCACTAGTACGCCAGATGCGCGAGTAGAAGAAAATTGTCCCCCAGCCCCCAGGCCTAACCCAGACACACAAAAGAAAAGACCTCTGCCCCAAGAGGCGCTGCCTTTTCTCTCAGCCAGTCCAGGTGCCCGGCTGCAGAGCCCCGGCCGCCCCCGGCCGCCCCGCCTGCATCCCTCGGGCCTCGGAAGTGACGCAGCGCGCCCCGCCCCCGCCGCTAGATCCGCTGCTGCTGCCGCGGCGGGCGAACCTGCAGGAGGCGGCGGCGGCGGCCGAGGCCGAGGGAAGATGGCGGACGGAGTGGACCACATAGACATTTACGCGGATGTGGGCGAAGAGTTCAACCAGGTAGGTGAGGGCCGGACTCACGCCGCCGAAGCGGACGGAGCTGCGGCGCGGACGCTGACCTCGGGGGCCGCGAGCCGCCGCGGCTGCAGCCCGTGCTCCCTTGCCGCCCCTGGGCCGCGCCGCCAGACCCGGCGCGGCGCCCCCCTCGCCCCTCGTTCTACCACGTCGTTTCACAGGCCGCGGGCGCTGCGGCCCGCCGCGGGGCCCAGAGCACGGACGCGGACCGCCATGCAGTCGCCGCTGGCCCCTCCCTTGCCCCGCTGCCTCGCTTCCATTGTTGGCGGCTGCCGGCGGGCGCTTCCCGCCGCGCTAGGCCCGGGCGGTGGGGCCGCGTGTGCGCCGCGGGGAGAACGGGCCGCCGCCGCGCCCCCTCCCCCGCCGCGGGCTCGAGGAGGAAGCCCCGGCGGGGCGCGCGCCCGCCGCCACCTTTTTCCCGACCCTGCTGCTCGGGCTCGGATTCCTCTCGTCGCTCCATTTTGTCTCCTGTCCGCGCACGGTCGCCTCATGGAAGGCCGCATTCACGGCCCTTTGTATCCCGCGCGCCCAGTCTCCTGGGCTCCCCTCCTCGCGTTTGCGACAGGTTTTTGGCGTGGCGCCTTCCTCCTCCTCCTCTTACACTTTCTGAAGGCGGCTTAGGTGCGGGCACGTTTGCAACAAGTCCTTTGACTTTTGGACCCACAGATCGTATTTAAAAGGTGCGCTGGTCCTGCCTAGTTAATGGAAGGCTTGCGTTGTCTTTGAGGCCCGGTTGTGCTTGGCCTTTGTGATGAAAATGCCTGTGAAAATAGTGGCCTGGGCCAAAAGGAAGAATTGGAAGCGCGATGGTTGGTTAGAACAAAAAGATGGTAGCTCACCCACAGATCAGTGATTACAATGAGAGAACGTTCACGTGAAATTCTTACGATATAGTTTTTTAAAAAAGAGCTGTAGATAAGACTCTATTGTCCAAAACAAAGTGTTAAATTTTCCCCGGGAGGGCTCTGCTTTACGTTTTGAAAGGTTGGAGAAAGTGAGAATGCAAGGTTTTTCTGGTATCATCGGCCAAGGTTGCCTAGAAGAACTCGCCGCGGAGCTGCGCTGATAATGGGCATCCTTGCAAAAGATGTCGTTTTTTACTAGAGCAGTGACGTTTAAGCTCTGAACCTGCTGTTCACATCTTTGCTGCGTTTTATGTAGTAACACATTTTAAAGAATCAAATTGTGCCTAACTGCAGTGCACCTAAATGCTTTATTTTTTATATTTCCCAAGTCTGTATGAAAAGCTTAATACAATTTTACTGGTTGATGTGGGGGTTTCCCCCCCCCCATTAAGAATCTTATTTGTGGCTAGGTGCTCAAGATTTTAAAAAATACGGAAACTGAGAAATCTTTACTATTATATTTTTCAGGAATGATTTTGTGTCTCTGGTTTAAATATTAGAAAAGAAGATATATTACTAATTGGCTTTAAATGTTTCCTACTCCGTTAATGACTGGATTTGTTTTAAAATTCTTTTTTTATTCAGCTTATATTTTGAATTTATGATGCATGAGTTGTATCAATTACAAATTAGCAAAATTCCTTGAGTGCCATACAAGACTCTAATGCGTTTAGTAAGGTCAGTAGATGAAAGACCTCTAGGAAATTTCTTTTCCTTTTATTTGTCAAATGAGTATAACATTGCATCCAAAAGACGGTCATAACTGCAAGTAAAGGAACAGTAAATTTTTCAAGACCGTCTTTGTTAGTTTTTTTTTTTTTTAGTTTTTAATTATTATGGATACATAATCGTTGTATGTATTGTACGGTACGTGTGATGTTTTGATACAAGCATACAATGTGAATTAATCAAATCAGGGTAATTGGGGTATCCATCACCGGAGGCATTTATCATTTCTTTGTGTTAGGAACATTCCAGTTCCACTGTTTGAGTTATTTTAAAGTATACCCTAACTTATTGGTTATAGTCACTTTGTTGTGACATTCATTAGCTTTTCTTACAGGAGAATACATTGCTTCACCTTTCTGGGCACAATAAAGAAGAATTGGGGCACAATCTTAGAAGTTAAGCTTTCTTCATTAAGTACCTCTTAATGAAATATTTTTAGGCTTTTGCATACTTAATTTGGGAGGGACATCTCCCTTATCCGTGTAGCTGGATGGAGTGATCCGTTCTTATCGTTATGCAGAAACTAGTGCTGAATGAGGTGGAGGTAAGAGATTAACATTTTGTGAACCCATTGAGGAACTACTTTATAGGTTCAGCATTATGTCTATCTAACACGTAGTTGTATCATTTTACCAGTAAAATCTTTATATGTTTGACTAGATTAATGGGAAAATTAAATAGAGGCACTGTTTCTGTTATTATTTTACACATCATTGGCCTCTAATTTTCTGCTTGCTATGGTAATTCCTATACCAAAAAATGCCCACAGAAGGATAGTTGGTCCTTGTTCGAGTTTATCCTGTTTTTTTTAAAAAAAAACCTAAATGCTTTATTTACTATTTACTATTAATGAAATATTTTTCTGAGATCTTACCATAAATAAGAGGCAACCACAAAATTATTCCAACTGATTTAATCTGCACATTGTTATTAGCTGGTAACCTTATTTCTGGCAGTTGCTATAATAAACTAGAACTCTTGTTTTACTGTAGTTGAGTAAACTGCTTTGCTAAGTATTAGCCGTCTTGACTTATTTTGGCTTCTAAACTATTGTAAACATTTTAAAAAAATTCTTTGTTCTCCAGTGTGAGCTGCAGTTTTAATTGTATTTGTATGTTTCAAAGTTATTGTAATATCTGTGTTTTCCATTTTTCTACTACTTTAAATGTTACATTTTTATGAAGTTTTTTTTTTGTACTTTGGTAAAGCACAATATTATTTCAAAAAGTGTGAGGCATTCAACAGTTTTAGAGGAAACTTTGGGGATAGGGTGAGAAAAAGTTAGTGATGCTGTAGTAGAGTTCCTTTCTAAGCCAGATGAGTTTAAGAATGGAGAATGAAGGAGAGAAGGCACAAGGGACTAGCTATTTATGGGTATTCTTTAGTTCTTAAATTGAAGGTCTTTGGATGTCATCAAATTGAGAACAGTTGCTTCACTGGAAGAGGAATTTGAACTACTTCCAGACCTCTACATTACTTGAATTTGGAGTTGAGAAGAAAGGGATTCTGTCTGATACTCAATAGTGTATCAGTTCAGTTTGAACTAGGATTTGTACTCGAGTGTAGTAGTGCTAGCCCAATATTGTGTAATTGTAGACTTTCTTTTTTATTTTGACCAAAACTAAATGATAATTTAAAAAATTCAATTGTTCAAAATACACTTCTTGGTATCATTATATGCCAACAAGGAGGGATGCAAAGTTTAGATAGTTTCTACCCTTAGAGTACACTGTAGTGGGGGTGAAAGGTACCTACATGTAGTCATCCCCTCTTATCCGCAATTTTGCTTTTCGTGGTTTCAGTTACCAGCGGTCAACCAAGATCCAAAACATACATACAATAAGATACTTAGACACCACATTTACATAACTTTTATTACAGTATATTGCTAGACAGTTATGTGTCACTAATGACTGGGATACTCCTGAGAAATGCATTGTTAGGTGATTTCCTCATTGTGTGAACATGATAGAGTATAGTTATACGCTCCTAGGCTACAAACCTGTACAGCATGTTATTGCACTGAATACTGTAGGCAGTTGTAACAAATGATAAATATTTGTATATCTAAACATAGAAAAGGTACAGTAAAAATAATCTAAAAGGCAAAAAGATAGTGCACTTGTATGGGACACTTATTCATAAATGGAGGTTCACAGGACTGGAAGTTGGGTATCTGTGAGTGAATGTGAGAGTCTAGGATGTTACTGTATACTACTGTAGACTTTATTTAACATTTTACGGTGTACCTGGGCTACACTAATTTTTTAAATTCTTCAGTAATAAATTAACCTTAGCTTACTGTAAGTTTTTTGACTCTTTTAGTAGTCACATTCAATTGAAAAGTTGAAAATAAACACTATACAGCTGTGCAAAATATTTTCTTTATATCCTTATTCTATAAGCTTTTTTTTTTTTTTTTTTTAAATAGGGACAGGTTCTCTCTCTGATGCTCAGGCTGGGGTGTAATATAGTAGTCAATAGTGGATCATGGCTAACTGCAGCCTGGAACTCCTGGGCTCAAGTAATCCTCCTGCCTCAGCCTCCCAAGTAGCTGAGACTACAGGCACACACCATGACGCCTGGCTAATTTTTCTATTTTTGTAGAGATGGGGGTCTCACACTTGCTCAGGCTGATCTCGAACTCCTGAACTCAAACAGTCCTCCTGCCTCAGCCTTCCAGTATGCTAGGATTATAGGTGTGAGCCACTGTGCCCAACCTGTGCTATACTTTTATATGACTGGCAATGCAGTAGATTTGTTTCACCACAAACACTTAAGTAATGTGTTGTGCTATGATGTTAAGACAGCTACGTCATCACTACGCTGTGGTAATTTTTCGGCTCTGTTGTAATCTTATGGGATTACCATTTATATATGCTCCATCATTGACCAGACCATCATTAGGCAGCACATTAATGTAGTTCTATTTTATTATTATTACTATTAATCTCTTACTGTGCCTATTTTATAAATTTAAAAGTATGTATAAGAAAAAACATAGCCTATATAGGGTTCCTTGCTATCCATGGTTTCAGACATCCACTAGGGGGTCTTGGGATGTATCCCCACAGATGAGGGGGGGCTACCATGATTATAACACACTGACAGGTCCTGTATCGTAACTACCACTTCTTTATGTTTATCTTTATGTGTAGAATTCTTGTTGATGGGGAGAGGAAAGTCAAGAAAAATTCTGTGAACTTCAGGAAAACTTATGTGCACTGAAGTAGTGTGTATTTTGGGGATCAAAAACTCTTGATGTGGAATTGAGTTAGGGACGTAGACATTATCAGTTTTATTTCATGAATCATTTTGCTTTATATTTAGCCATTATGTATTTACTATATCGATTGTTTAGCCAATTATGGAAAATAAGTTTATTGGACAAATATCAGTAAAACCTGATTTATGATAAGTTTGTATTTAATAGAAAACCATCTAAGATAAGGCTGTAAGGTCAATAATGAGCTAGGTAGAATGGATTCAAAAACATGAATAGAAATGTTGAGGGGAGCTAGAACTCTTCTCACTTGGTTTTATCATTAATGAGCATAGTTAATTTAGTTGCCTATGAATTGTCCACTGTGGTTTATGTGGCATATTTTTAGTCCCAAGTTGATTTCTTTGCCATTAATTGAGCTTTTTACAGGGATTACAAGCTAATTTTAAGGTCTACTCATAACATAATTAAACAAAATCAGAAAATGATGTTTTCTAAAAATATATAAGATTGTCTGCTACTGGATTTTGCATGCTATTTCTTTCCCCTGGTATAGAATACATTTTATAATGCAAAATGTGATTTTTTTTCCCCGCTTACATTTCTCTAAATGGAAATGGCTATTAAAATCTTTAAAAAAAATTTTTTTTTAATAGAGGGGCTTTGAAACAAGTAGCTTTTGCTGTGCATTACTGGTTGTATCATATAATGCATGGGTGTTATTACTATAATTTTAAAACCACCAAAAGCTGTGTTGGGTCTGTCAGAGAGAATGAAGACTATTTTGACAGCTATACCAAAGTCATGTCAATAACGGTGTACAGTCTATCTGTGATGTTAAAATTTTATGGGGAATGATGAGGGGAAAAATGTTTAAAAATAACCCCATGGAAGGAGAAGTGATGATGGAAAAAAGGTTGAGAAACATCACCTCAAAGGAACTAATAGGATTTTGGTCATTTTACTGTCCATTTTCTCTGACTTGGCAACAGCTGTTTGTATGTTATATAGAACATAATCTTGTAGGGTAAAATCTTGAGAGGATATCTTGCCTTTAGAATGATTGTAGTGGTTCAGAATGGTAGGGTATGAAAAAGTTGCTTAGTGAATTTTTTAACAAACCCTAAAAGCTGTTTTCTGAAAGTTATGTGTACTGTGCAGCTTTATTGATGATGCTAGCTACTATGGAAAATAGGTAAGATCAGGCCGCATTTGGTATCTAAAATAGAGGAGTGATGTTGATACTTTCTTGATTTTGAATGCCATTAAAAGTAAAGGTAAGCCGGGCGTGGTGGCTCA